TCCTCTCAGTTCCTGGCCCAAGCATTTCCCATCGTTCCAGGGATGGCTGATGGGAAAGACTGAGCTCACTGCTCCCTGGGGAGGGCCAGGGTGGGGGAAGGAGAGTCTGGCGCAGCTGCGGCTTGGAGAGAAAGGGAGAGGAGTCTTAGAGCGGGAAGGTCCAGGTTGTCAGTGCTCGGAGGAGTTGGAATGGTGTGCTCCTCCTCAGCYCCTGGGCCTCCACGGTGCTCTTCTGCTCCGCGGCTGGCTTCTCTGTTGGTGGGGACAGGTCCTGGAAATAGGGGAAGGTGTCAGGGTCCAGCAGGGGCCAGCATGAGGAGTTGCCTGGGCAGGAATCCCCCTGCCTGTGAGCATTCGTACATTGCTTTAATGTTTTGTGACTTTGGGCGAACTCTTTGCTGTCCTTCAAGTCCCAGCTTGGCTGCTGCCGACTTYCTGTCACTTTCTCAGCTGCCTTCTGGGAGCTTGACAGTCCTYTCCCTCATGGGAGAGGGAGGCTAGTTACTGGTTTGCACATCTGTGCGCTCACCCCTCCATGTGAGGAGCGTGTCCATAGCAGACCCCAGCTTCCCATGGCCACTGTGGGTGGGTGTAACAGGCAGCGTGGCAGGATGACCCTAGATGGCCTCCTGGGGTCTGGCCTGGGTAAGGTCACCCCATGGCAGTCATGCCCTGAGCTTCAGCAGGCCTCCACGACTGACTCACAAGAGACCAGATTGTCTAGGTCCTTCACTTTTGGTGACGTGAATGCCCATGCTCACGGCCCAGGACCTCCTACGGATAATCAGGACACCAAAAGGGTGTGTTAGTCATGAGGTTTCCCCATGAGGGCGAAATCTGAGCTATGGAGGGGTTGAAGGAGAGTCTGTTGAGGACATAGCATGTACAAGCTCATCTGCCGCGCTCCAAACTCTYTTAGGAAGGCCACGAGGCCCACAGGGACCACCGTGTAAGTGCTGGGAGACAGTGTGGCATGGGGTAAGGCTCCTCCACTTCCTGGCGGAATGTACTTCTGTGGGATTTCCTACCCACCCCTCCCTACCCTGCCGCCTCTGGAGGCCCTCGCAGCGCTGCTCACCTTGGTGCTTCTGTGCCTCTCTGTGCATAAGCCTCCCGGATACTGAAGCCGGGTTATGTGCCAGGGATGCACACGGCTCAGCTCATTGACCATTCTCAACACCCTGAGGCCGGCGTGTCATTCCATCGTCCAGCTGAGGCCAGATGAATCAGACAGAACCGTTAAGTGCCAAGCTAGAGACCTTGCCCCTGTTCCAGCTGCTCTTCTCCACCTCCTTTTCCAAGTGCGCAGCTGTCCCTGGGGTTTGGGAACCAATGACCTGAGTCTTGGGCCGGGGCAGCAGAGCTGGTTCTGGGGTTGTCACTCCAGACGTGTTGGCAGTTAAGAAGGGGTCAGCCCTGCTCCYCTTTGCAGGCTTCTCACAACCTCTACTGGGGTAATAGGAGAGGGTAGAGATAGGGGCCTTCTACCAGGGAGGGGGGCTGGAGTTCCCTCTCCCAGGGCTCCCTGCATTGTGGTTAGGCCTGATGGAAGGCTGCCTGAGCACTTTGATGCTGGCCATTCCCATTGTGACCTCTGGCCTCCCAGGCCACCTTCTGAGAGCAGAGGATACATAATGGGCAGAGGGAGCAGCAGGGGCTTTGGGGCCCATGGGCTGGCATTGCCTCCTGGGTTGCTGGCTGACTGTGGTCTTGTCTCTGTCCATCTCTGGGGCCCAGATTCCAGTTCTGTAAAATGGGGATAATGCCTACCTGTTGTGTTCCTCACGACGGAAACACTCAGGGTCACTCCAGGGGAACTGGGCTGCACAAAATAACCACACAAGAGACGGAGATACCTTTTTCTTTGGGGTCCTGTGACGACTCCTCTGACCTTAAGGGTCTGCAGAAAGAGAGAGAGAGCCAGCACTCGCTGACCCTTTTATTGAGGAGAAGCCATTCAAATGAGGCCAGGGGTCAGGTTTCAGGGGGTTGAGTCTAGCTTCATGATGTCCACTGTCAGAAGGTTGACTGACATCTAGGAAGGCCACACCCAAAGGCAGAGCAAGAGAAGGGGACACACAAAGGGAGTTTCCATGGAACATTCTATCCCAAACAGGGCAAAGGGGTAACATCACAGAAACAGGTGAGTATAGCTCAATCCATGGGGCGACAGGCCTATGTCTGAAGACACATCCTCAAACTTTTGGGACTAGGGCTATATTCAGGTCACTACGAGAGTGACGATCAGAGCCTCTCTGTCTGCTCTCAGGAAGGAGAACACGAAATTATTCAGACTGGTCTGCCCACACCTACCCCCACCCCAAGTTGTCCTCAAGATAAAACACATTAAACAGGCAAAGCACCCAGCCCATGAACAATTAATGATAAATCTTAAAATAATAATAATAATTTTTTTCCTAGATTCAAATAAAATCACTCAGTTGAAAGTTTCAAAAGAAGAACAACTATGATTTTAAGATGTGTGAAAAGCATGTTTTATATTGCTAATACTCTTTTGGAGTAGTATTACCTCTTACCTCCTAAACTAGATACAGGGTGTGGAATCATGAATGTTTTGTTTGGAACACACTTAGGATAAATTGTGTCTTTCAAGGAATATAATAGGGATCAAACCCATATGCTAGGCAAGCATTCTCCCACTGAGGTGCACCTCAGCCCTRTTTTTACTTGTTAATCTATTAAGCAGTTGGTTTGAGCTACCTACATTTTCYATTTCCTGCGCTGTGACCTTGGGCAAAGTATTTAACCTCTCTGTGTCAGTTTCCAGTTGGGTATAATAGGAATATATTGAGTGAGCATACGTTGGATAGAGTTAATATGATTATCTACTTTACAGGATTCTTGTATTAAATGGGTTAATAAAGTGTTTAGAATGATGTTTGACTTGTATTAAACACTTAAATATCACTATTAATAATAAYAACAACAACAATGATAATGATGTCTTTTGTTCATCTGTTTTTTTTCTTTTCTTTTTTTCCCCCTTCCCAGTACTGGGGATGGGACAAGGGGTGCTGTACCTCTGAGCCACATGCACAGCTCTTTTTAAATTTTTATTTTGAGTCTCACCAAGTTGTTGAGGCTGGCCTCAAACTTGTGATCCTCCTGCATCAGTCTCCCAAGTTACTAGGATTACAGGTGTGTACTACAGGACTGAGCTAATAATAATAATTTCTGAATAAAAATATGCACTCAGATTTTTACTGAAGTCCAGTCAAGTTGCTATTCAGTAGATGTGCATTCAGCTCACATTTACATAGTGCTGGCTCTGGGCTTGTTTGGACTTTGCTCTTGGGATCTGATTTCATCCTTTTTTTTTTTTCTTTTCCGGGCACTGGGAATTGAACCCAGGACCTTGCACATGCTAGGTAAGTGCTTCATCTACAGCCCTTGGAACCAGACCTCAAATGCTAGCTCAGCAACTCCCTGGCTCAATCCAGTGGCCTGGGCTCCTGGGTCTTAGTTTCTGCCTCTTCTTCCCAGCCCCCTGGGACTGGGTGAGGCTGAGCTCATAAAAAGTGTCAGCAAAGCACTTTGTGGATCGATGCTAACTAATAGCAGCTCCCAGGAGCTGGTATGAGTAGGGAAGATGATTGTGGAGCTGCTTGGACCAATCTCAGGGCAGCACCCAGGGAAGGCCAGTGTTGTCCTCAAAGCAGGATCCAGGAAGGGCCCTATTCTACCCTCTGCCTGATGCTTCATGCTGCTCTGTAACCAGGAGGGGTTGCCAGCATGGTTTGGAGGTGGGATGGCCGCAGGGGAAGGGTTTTCTCCATAGAGACCAATCCAAGGCACACGTAGAGATCCATCCAAGCCACACACCTGGTTGCATTGAGGCCAGACTGGATGCATGGAGTGACTCGGGCATCCTCTTGTCAGGATCCCCCAGCTGCCCCATAGCTATCTCTCTAGAAGTTGTTGGTCCTGATTGAAATAGAGGGCCTCTGATCTTCACCCAGACACCAGGCTGTCTTAAGTATGGCATGGAAGCTATCAGGGATGGGAAGTTGGCATGGGATCCTATGTAGGGAAAGATGGGGGAAAGGCCCCTCCCAGGTCTGCCCTAGAGGGTAGCCCACCTCGGTGTCTCAGACTGAGCTGACRTCGGATCTGGGAAATGCTGTGGGGGCAGCAGATGGTGACTGTGCTTTTTAAGAGCTTCTTTCTGAAGGAGGAGGCATGGCCCTATGCTCCAGGAGAGAGAGGGTCCTGTGTGATGGGGGAACATGGCTTCTGTTCCCTGGGACTCCCTGTCACATGGAGGGACATGGTCATCTTGTGCTCTGGCACTTCCCTGTCTGAAGAATGAGGCATCACCTTTATCCTGAAGAATGAGGCATCACCTTTATCTAATCTGATGGAGGAGTCATGGCCACTCCCTTAGAGAGATCCCTATGTGAGACCTGACCAATGCCCTCAGGAAGGACCCCTGTCTGATGGGGGGGGGGATTCCTTTTTTGTTCTCTCACTCAAGAAACCTCATTTGATGACCTCTGCCTTGGGACCTCCTTCCCTGCCTGATTCATGGAGAGCCCAGGCTCCACAGGCAATAGGCACAGAATGAGCTGGGCAGCTAGGGAGTTGGCTTCTATGGGGTGGCAAGTGAGGGTGACATGGAGGGCTTCCTGGGGAGGTGCCTTTGTGGCACACTCCTGGACAGGAGGTGCTGGCTGAAGATAAAGAGCAGAGGCTCCCCGGGACTGGGGAAGGAAGCTTGAGGAGCCATGCCAGTGAGCTCCAGCCTCACACAGACCACACTGCTGGAGTAGAAAGGGGTCCAGGAGACAGACCCTCGCCGTGGCCTGTCCCTGCACAGGCCAACTGCTGCCAGCCCAGAGACATCCGCCCTCCTCAGCTCGAGAAGCCCAGAGGAGGAGAGGAAACAGGACGCGTATCAGGAACGCCTTTTCCTTTTCTTTGTAGCTTACCCCTCACTCAGGGCTGGGGAGAGCGATCTGCAGGGCTGGCCCTGGCCTGGCCACTGCTGCCTGCAGTCCCCAGCTCTGGGTCTGACAGGCCGCCCTGCACCCTGCGGACCCTGCTCTGCTCTGCTCCAGGGCTGGCCCTGGAACACCACAGAATCTCAGGGATCTTAGCTGCAAAATGGGGTAAGACTTCCTATCTGCCTCACCAGGAAGTTGATGCTGTTTTTCTCGCTGTGGGATTTGCATCATTATTTCTTGATCCCTGAGATGTGCATTGAGCACTTCCTTTGTGCCACCTCTGGGATGGGCAGGGACAGGGAGCACAGGGGAGCCCCATGGGGAAGAAGTTTGTTGGGATTTGTCTGAGGAGTTGGGGGACTTCCAAGTAGGGATGTCCTGTTGCTTGCGGGCGTGGGGTCAGAGAGGACCTGGCTGGAGATGGAGATTTGGGTGTACCAGGTCTGGTGGCAGTAGAAGTGGTCTTGTGGTTGGAATTCCCAGGGTACTGCTTGCTATGGGCTTGGGAAGGTGGCAGAGGCCAGATTCAGCTCTGGAGCTACCGAGAGCTGGACATGGAGCAGGGCTGAGGAACCGCTTGGCCAGGGGTTCCAGAGGCACTGAAATGGGGTCACCTGACTCGGTGCCTTTTAGAGGAATGTTGAGAATGTCATCTTCGCAGGGAAAGGTATGGGGAAGGGTAGACCCAGAGGGTGTGGAGGAGTACGAGGGCCTGGACATCAAGGAGCGCAGTCAGGTGGACTGGTGTTCTTTTCTGTTTCTCTGGTCATTCAAGTGATACCTCCACTGGGCAGAGGGCTCCTGGGGGGGAGTGTCTGTGTGTCTGTGTGGCATGCGTATTGTGCAAGTGTGATGTGTGTGCATGGGGAATGTTTAGCATTTGGGGGTGTGCTATGTGTGGTGTACATGTGTGAAGTGTGAAGCATCAGAAGACACTTGTGGTGTGGTGGGTGTGGTGTCTGTCGGTGTGTGGTGGGGTGTGTGTATGTGTGTGTGGGGGGGTGTGGAGTCTGTGCACAGGGCCATGTTCAGGTTCTTGTGTCAGACTGCAGAGCAGGCTGGTGCTGAGCCGACCACCGGACTGGAAACTGGGAAGGCTTGTGAACTTTCTTCTGTCCTTAAAGTGACACTCAGTGGTATGCTGGTAGCAACTGGCCCTTTGGAGAAAAAAAAAGGAAGGTGGAGGATTGCAGCATTTGCCAATTTCCATGGTGTAAATACTCCTGCCGCAGATGCCTGTTCAGTGTGAGGYTATTGAGCATGGATTTGAGGAGCACAGGAGACACCATTATACAGGATCCGCCCCCCACCCCACAGCTATCATAGACATAGGGAACCTCAAAGAAGATAATAGGAAATCCCATAGGGTCATTAGGGAGTGATAAGCTTGAGCATGTAGTCCCTTTGTTTTTAATGTGTTTTAATTAATTGTGTTTACTGGGATTTCTCAACATCTACACTGCTAACACTTGGGCTGGAGATCCTTTGTTGGGGCCCTGGGACTAGTGCTCTGTGCCTTATGCAGGCAGCATCCTGGCCTATATCTGTTAGAGGCTGGGGGATCACTCCCCCAAGTCAAGACCTCCACTTTGTCTCCAGAAATTTCCAAATATCCCCTTGGGTGCAAACTCAAATTCCTTCTCCCCTGTTGAGAACCATTGATAATGATTTTGTGTAACAACTAACTCAAAAATTCCTAAAAATCTGGTGACAGTCAACTCTTAAGGATCTGGACAAGCCAGCTCCAAGCCACCACAGGGACCATATCTGGCTAAAGATAGGGTATACCCCTCTCCCCACCAGTTCTTTCTCAGGAAAAGAGCCGTCACTTGGGCCTTAGGCCTCAGTCTGAGCAAAGGCCCTGGGCACAGAGCTCTCAGCATCCTGACCCACCTACGGAACAGCTGATATGAGATGAGCCCCCAGAGGATCCACAGTAACACAGGAAAGAAGTAATGTTTCTGAGCTAGTGTCTTGTTCTAATATACTATACTATGTTATTTTACACACCTACAAGCTTGTACATTTAAACTGGCAAAAGTTAACCCCCCTCAAACCACTCCCCATGTCTGCTTTTTATTTTTGTTGGTACCAGGGATTGAACCCAGGAGAGCATAGCCACTAAGCTATATCCCCAGCCCTTTTTATTTATTTATTTTTAAATTTTGATACAGAGTCTCACTAAGTTTCTTGGGGCATACTTAATTGCTTGAAGGCTGGCTTTGAACTTGTGATCTTCCTGCCTCAGCCTTCTGAGCTGCTGGGATTACAGATGTGCTCTACTGTGCCCAGAAGCCCTTTTTATTTTTTATTGTGAGACAGGGCCTCTCTAAGTTGCTAAGGCTGGCCTTGAACTTGCAATCCTCCTGCCTCAGCTTCCCAAACTGCTGGGATTACAGGTGTGCACCACCTCACCTGGCCCAACCCCCTTTAAATAAAATCTTCCTGCTGGTTTGGCGATGGGTTGTCGAGTGCACTTGGTCTCTGCAGTTTCCTGCCAAGGCTGTGCGTCATCCTGGTGATTAGGCTGCCGCCTCTAATTTATTTTTTGGTCCAGGTCAGCTTTGAGCTCAGGGTTTGACTCTGGTTGGTTCATTTCTTCATTCATTCAAAATATTTATTAAGCACCTACTGTGTACCAAGAAAAAATAATGACTGAAGGAGGCTGCGGTTCCTGCTCTCTGGAGTTTGTCATTCTTCCAGTTCCATAGTGTCCACTAAGGAGCAGCCATGTGCAGGCCCCTGTGGATGCCTAGGGGACAGTGGGGAGGGGGAGCGTAAGGGGCTGATTAGGTCAGAGCCCAGCTGGGCACATCACGCACTCTGCTTCTGGGGGAGAATTCTGTTTGTGGAGTGTCTGTGCCCCCATCCCACCTCCATCCTGAGCGTAGGTGCCCAGGTACACACACGGGCCACTGGGACCTGGATCTCCTGCAGGGAAGAGCAATGCCCAGCGTTTTGGAAAATAAAAGGAAGGAGAAGAGGGAGTCCAGAAATGTGTCCAGAAATAAGAAGGATGAGGGGCTGAGTTGTGGCTCAGTGGTAGAGTGCTTGCCTGGCATGTGCGAGGCCCTGGGTTCAATCCTCAGCACCACAAATAAATACACGAATAAAATAGAAAGACATTTACAACTAAAAAAAAAAAAAAAAAAAAAAAAACAATTAAAAAAATAAGAAGGATGAATGGAGGGAGGGAGGGAGAAGCCAAGCCTGGGGGGTGGGGACAGAGGAGTCAGGACAGGCGCTCTGATGATTCTTGGTGACAGTTGGGAAGCTGGGGAGCATTGTCATGGAGAGCGCTGATGGAAGGAGGGGCAGGGCAGGATGAGGACTGGCAGGGCATGTCTCTGGGGATTTCTGGAAGGTGGGGATCTAAAAGGGGAAGAGAACATCACAAATTTTTGCCTTCCATGTGAGACTGGCAGCTAAAAAGGCTTCCCTGTCTCCAGCAGGGGCCACGTAGCCACGCCTCCTGTCCCAGGGCCTCCTAAGGGACATTTAGGGGAGGGCGGGGACTGACAGGGTGATGATGGTCATGATGGAAATGATATCAACAATGTCAGCTCCCTTTTTTTGGTTCCCTGCTGGCTACCAGGTTTTAATATTGTTCCCAACCACCAAGGGGGAGGCCGCCCCCTGTCCTCCAGAATGGAGGCTCAGAGGATGGGAGACTGTCCCAAGATCATGAAGGACTAGGCGGGGTCTGCCTGCCTCAGCTCCTGGCTCTTTCCTCCTCGGCCTTTCCTTCCTGCCTCTCGACCCTCAGGCAGGCTCAACAGCGGTCAGGGCCGTCTGTGGGTCCTTGGTAGCCAGCTGCCAGCCGCTTGGTGAGATTTTTACCAGCCTTTGATTTTCACATCTCCATTTCCATAGGTTACCAGAAAATGGGCCAGGCTCCTTTAAGTAGCCCTCCCCTCTGTCCATGGCCACCTGGTGGCTTCCCTCTTTCCTTCATCTGTACCCTCTGAAAACTTCACGAATCTGGATCGAGGCCAGAAAAGTGACCCCGTGCGCACGTGTGCTCTGCCTAGAAGCCCTCAGGAGCTGGACTTGGCCAGTTTGGGCTCACCTTTACCCCTCAGGCCTCTAGGCACCACCCTGTGCCCCAAGAGCCCCGGGCAGGCCCAAGGGGGACAGAGTGGGGGAGAGTGGCCAGGGGCAGCAGAAGCCTGGGGTGCTCCTCTCGGCCCAGCTCTGGCCCGTGGGCTTTGATTTCTCCATCTGGGAAACAGCAGATTGTTCTGTAAACAAAACCCTATGGCTCCCTAGAGTTCGGAAATGTGTGAAACAGGGTGACATTTCCTGTCTCCCCCCCTGGGCCGTCCAGAGAGGCAGGTGAGCAGGCAGACAGGGCTGTGTCAGGGGGAGGGCTGGGACAGAGGGCTGTGACGCTAAGGCGGAGCGGATGAGCCTGTACACAAATAACCCTGCCCCCCCCCCCCCCAGAGTGTCATAAGGCCTCTCAGAGACTCTTTGCCTCTGCTGCCACCTGCTCTCACGCCTCCCTGTTCCCTGATGGCTGTTCTCACACCCTGGAAAGTAGGTCAGAATGTAGGGCGCCTGCTTCTGAGAGTGAATGCCCCCTTGCATGGTGCCCACCCTACCCAACAGAGCCATGGCTGCTCTCAGGGCCAGCACTGGGGGAAGCCATCTCTGTATCCAAAATAAAGTTCTGGCCATTGGCCCTCCACCCCTCAAATGTGCATGCCTCCCCAATGACTGCTGGATGCGGTCCCAGGTCCTTAGCCTGATCCTCAAGGTCCTTCCCAGTCCCCTCTACCCTCCTAGGCCAGGGTCAGCACACAGAGGTGCTCCGTTATTACTATCTGGGGAGGGAGTGGACCTTTTTATTTTAGCCCACCCCCTTCCATGAGGCTCCTCCCAGGCACTCAGGTAAGTAGCCACACCCAGCTACTTACCCTCTCCCCAGCACCCAGAGGACTCAGCGGTTCTCTCCAGGCCCTCACCTGCAGAGCCGTTACCTCCTCCACACCTCTCTCAGTCCATTAAGATCCCCCTCGTCATACCTCTGCTCCTGAAGTCTTTCTTGGCTTCTCAGGCAGAACTCCACATTCCATGTCCCAGGCAATACTTGGGAGTGTTTAAAAGCATGGTCTCTGGAGCCAGGTTGCCTGAGCTCCAATATCTAGCTCAGCTCCTTACTT